AGATCACGGTGGAATGTGAATTAAATCGGGAAAGACACTTGTATAAAAATTGTTACTATGGGTCATGAGCTCAGCTGGACTTAATACTTTGTTCTTTCCATCTGTCTTCTGTATGTTCACAGGGAACTTGGGTTTTTAGATCAGCTAAGGATCACCCATAACACGGACATATTTATTGGAATGCATGGAGCTGGTCTTACCCATTTGCTTTTCCTTCCGGACTGGGCTGCTGTATTTGAACTGTAAGTACTTGGCATGGTTTTACATTGCCGCGGCTCACGATGTTCTTTATGCATGCCGAGACTTCCGCTCAGCTCACCCAAAGGCTAAGTACTTAATCCTTCCAGGGAAGTCACACCCTATCGGCATTTGTAAAGAAAAAAGACCTAATACTAAAAATGAGAAGGCTGCAGCCTGCCATTTCACTTAGCAAGCAACCACCTGCTCCTCCCTGTCTCAGCGGAAGATGTGACTCTGGGATTTCTTTTCTTTTTGCTATTGTTTTTGATGTTGACTCTGTTATAGAGTCCCCCATTTGCCCCCTTTGCTTCCCTGCACCCTGTTGCCCTGTCCCAGGCCTTCCCCACATTATTGTCTGTGTCCATGGTTATGCACATGTGCATATAAGTTCTTTGGTTAATCTCTTCCCGCCCTGCCCCTTCCCTCTGAGAATCGTCAGTCTGTCCCATGCTTCTATGTCTCTGGATCTGTGTTGTTCTTCAGTTTATTGTGTTCATTAGACTCCACATATGAGTGAGATCATGTGATACTCGTTTTTCTCTGGTTGACTTATTTCACTTAGCATAACACTCTCCAGGTCCCTCCATGCTGTCTCAAAGGGTAAGGGATTTTTATGGTTTTGTGACTTACATTTAAGTCTTTTATCCATTTTGAGTTTATTCTTGTGTTTGGTGTAAGTTGGTGGTCTAGTTGCATTTTTTTTTGCATGTATCTGTCCAATTTTCCCAGTACCATTTACTCCATTGTATGCTGTTGCTTCTTTTGCCAAATATATATTTTTTAATTTAAATTCTTTATTGTTTAAAGTATTACATATGTCTCCTTTCCCCCCCCATTGACCTCTCCCCAGCTACTCCCAACCCCCAGCACATGCCCTTATCCCTCTACTATCTGTGTCCATTGGTATTGCTTATATGCATGCATACAAGTGCTTTGGTTGATCTCTTACACACTCCCCCTCTCCTGTCTTCTCTCTGAGATTCGACAGTCTGTTTGATGCTTCTGTGTCTTTGGATCTATTTTTGTTCATTATATTCCACAAATGAGTGAGGTCATATGATACATATCTTTCTCCGACTGGCTTATTTCACTTAGCATAATGCTCTCTGGGTCCATCCATGCTGTTGTGAAAGGTAAGAGTTCTTTCTTTTTTACAGCAGCGTAGTATTCCATTGTGTAGATGTACCACAATTTTTTAATCCACTCATCTTCTGATGGGCACTTAGGCTGTTTCCAAATCTTAGCTGTGGTGAATTGTGCTGCTATGAACATAGGGGTGCATATATCCTTTCTGATTGGTGTTTCTGATTTCTTGGGATATATTCCTAGAAGTGGGATTCCAGTGGTCTTTTGCCAAATATTAATTGACCATATTGCCATGAGTTGACTTCTGGACTCTGTTCTGTTCCACTGACATATATGCCCATTCTTGTGCCAGTACCAGGCTGTTTTGATTACAGTGACTGTGTAATATAACTTGATATCCTGTATTGTTGTCCCTCCTACTTTGTTCTTCTTTCTCAAGTTTGCTAAAGCTATTCGGTGTCTTTTGGGGTTCCATATACAGTTTTGGAATATTTGTTCTTAATCTGTAAAAGATGCCATTGGTAGTTTAATAGGAACAGGTCTTTTACCTTTTTGGTTAAGAAAAACCTACAGCCAACATTATACTCAATGGGCAAAAACTAAAACCATTTCCCTTAAGATCAGGAACAAGACAGGGATGTCCGCTTTTACCACTCTGATTCAACGTAACATAGGAAGCTCTGTCACAGCAATCAGACAAGAAGACATAAAAGGCATCCAAATTGGAAAGGAGGAAGTAAAACTGTCATTATTCACAGATGACATGATATTATACATAGAAAATCCCAAAAATTCCACCAAAAAACTACTGCATCTAATAAATGAATATGGCAAAGTAGCAGGATACAAAATGAATATCCAGAAATGGGTGGCATTTTTATACACTAATAATGAACTCTTGGAAAGAGAAACTAAAAAACAATCCCATTTATTGGTGAATATGGTTTCTTTCTCGGGGTTCACTCCCCTGTGCCTCTCCAGCTGGGCGTCGCTGACACTGGGCGTGATCAGTGTGCTGCGAGAGAAGCTGTGTGTTGCACACCCATGTTCACAGCAGCCCAGATGTGGAAGCCACCCATACGCCCACCAGGGGATGGGTGGGTTACAGAATGTGGGCTGGACACGCAGTGGAATATGACTCACCCTGACAAGGAAGGAAATCTCGTCACATGCCCACATGGCACAAGAACAGGCATATATGTCAATGGAGGACATTATCTGAAGTGAAGTAAGCCCGTCACAGGAGGACAGATACTGACTTCACGTACAGGAGGTCCCTAGAGGGTCGTATTCGCAGAGACAGAAAGGAGCTGGGTGCCAAGGGCTGGGGCCCAGGAGGAGTCGGTGTTAAATCGTGTGCGTTTGAAGCTGGAAGTTGCTTACACAATAATGTGAGTGTCCTTACCGCTACTGAACTGCACGCCTGAATGGCTAAGGTGATACATTTTATGTATGTGTTTCCTACCACGATTTTTAAAGCATGAGAGTGTGAAAGCCTGTGCATCTCATGAAGAACCAGCTCCAGCACAAGCCCTGCTCCTGTGAGCTCCCATGTGCTCCCTGCTCCTGTGAGCTCCCATGTGCTCCCTGTTCCCATGTGCTCCCTGCTCCTGCAGGTTCCCTGCTCCCATGTGCTCCCTGCTCCCTGTTCCCATGTGCTTCCTGCTTCTGCAGGTTCCCTGGTCCCTGCCTCTTGTGTGCTCCCTGCTCCCATGTATTCCCTGCTCCTGTGTGCTCCCTGCCTCCCACAGGCTCACTGCTCGCACAGACCTTGAGGGTCAGGGTGGACATTCTGGTCCCTGTGCTCTGCCCCCGCAGCTGGAGTGGAGACATGCCTTCTCTCCCGGGAGAGTTCCACACCCGCCTCATCTGTAGGTCTCCTATCCTGATTGTGTGGTTTCAATATAAAAATGAGCTGACTCACTATTTAAACAGATGACTGTTTAGAAAGAGGTGCCAGGAACTTCCGCACCACGCAAGACGTAAAAAATTCACTCGTTAGAGAAACAGCCAGATGATTGTGGATTTGATCTGTCTTCATTTCTCTTAGAGACAGAGGGGGGAGGGAAGCGGGGGGACGGGAGGAAAGAGAGGGTCACTGAGGCAGCCCAGGCCTTGGACTTGCCCTGGCTTCGCTGGCTCTGTGACCTTGGAAGTGTTACCTGCCCCAAGGCCACGGCCATGCCTGCAGAGACGGGTATTATGAGAATATGGAATTCTTGGTCAGCCCTGTTGATAAAGGTCTGTCTCCATTCCATTCTGTTTTTTAAAAGTTAATCTAGTTATGAGAATATTTTAAAAGTACAGGGTGGGGCAAAAGTAGGTTTACTGTTGTCCATATGGCAATGAATATGATAATTAATAAATGAGAATACAAGAATAACTGTTTCACGTACTGACCCCTGTACGCCTGGGTTGCCCACGGTAGCCTCCCTCAGTCTGGTTCATGGTGCACATGACCTTTGAGAGAACCCGTTTGGAGGTGCATTTTTTCCCAGAGAACTGTGGGCCGGACACACACTGCAGCCAAGCCTCACATGTGGCTGCCCGGCCTCAGGTACAACTGTGGAGACCAGCGCTGCTACCTGGACCTGGCCCGGCTCCGCGGCGTCCACTACGTCACCTGGCGCAGGCAGAACAAGGTCTTTCCTCAGGACAAGGCAAGTGAAATGGCGAAGCGCCCCTGCTTCTGCTTTTCAGTTCATGTGAAGTGTGTAGTTATGAATGTGAAAAACTATTGCTCAGCTTCAAAGGAAAATTGTTCTCTGGAATACTGAGTTGTATCTCATATTTGCAGATTGGAGGAAGAGGGTATCCACTCGGTATCTTTAATGTTAATAAGAAAATTTCATGAAATTTGGGCCTAGAAAGGGCTATTCAATTGCAAATCAGAGGGATCAGCGGACTGGAGACCAGCAGGCCAAATCTGGCCCCCCACCTGTTTTTACAAATAAAGTTTTATTGGGACACAGTATGAGTTGTCTGGCTGCTTGTGCCCTTCCATGGCAGAGTTGAGTCACCGTGACAGAGGCTGCGGTCCACAGAGTTAAAATAGGTGTTCTTTGGACTTTACCAAAAACTATTTGCTGACTTCCGAGGGAGGGCGCAAATTAAGACTGTTGCTTTGGCCAAAGGAAACTAATTTTTTCCTGTTCAGAAAACCACATCCTCTGACTTACAGACCTGTGTTTTGGTTTGGTTTTCCAGGGCCACCACCCTACTCTGGGGGAACATCCGAAGTTTACCAACTACTCCTTCGACGTCGAAGAGTTTATGGCCCTTGTCCTGCAGGCTGCAGAGCACGTATCGCGACACCCGAAGTGGCCGTGGAGGAGCAGACGAGACGAGCTGTGACTGCGGCTGTCTGCAGGGGGCGAGGTGGACGCTCCTCCAGCCTCTCAGACCGGCCTCAGGGCTCTGCCTGTGGGCTTTACACTGTTTCGTGTGACATTTGCGTCACTGCTCTTTGTCAAGATCCTCTTTTTGTACTGAAATGACTTTTTGAGTTCAAAAACTGGCCATGGCTCGCTGAGGGATTGAGTTTTCTTCTTCTGGGATCCAAGCACTCAGCTTTCTCAGCGTCAGAATCTGTAACTGGTTCTGTGAGACACCTCAGGGTGGTTCATTCTAGAGACTCCACCTGGTTATGATGTCGGAGTAAATTCACCATGGCCTTTATTTGTCATAATTTATTCATAGCACTGCTTGTGGTAGGAAAGGAAAGCATGCAGCACCCACACACACCCACCCCTCACACCCACACATACACTCACACACCTACGCACACACACACTTACACACATGTACCCTCACACTCACACATACACCCACACACCTACTCACACACACACTTACACACACCCACCCTCACACCCACACATACACTCACATACCTACACACACACACACACCCTCACACATACACCCACACACCTACTCACACACATACACCTACACTCACACCCACCACTCACACAGTTACACTCATACACACACCCACACACCCATGCACTCACATACATCCCCACTCACATCCACACATACACACACATGCACACCCACACACACCTACTCACACACACACACCTACAGTTACACCCACCACTCACACATAGTTACACTCATACACACACCCACACACCCATGCACTCACACACATCCCCACTCACATCCACACATACACACACATGCACACCCACACACACCCATACACACACCCATACACCCACTCTCACACACACCTACACACACCCACACTTACACCCCCACATGCACACCCACACCTCACAGTCCACTCACACACAGTCACACATACACATACATACACTCACACTCACACTCCTTACAGCCCTCCCCACACAGGTGCGAATCTCAGTGCTGGGCCATTGGACGCACCTGCAGGTGAATGTGCTGTAAGCAGATCAGCTGCACGCTGTCCGAGCCCAGAGCCCCGCACTGATGCCCTGCTGTACCTTTTCGGTCGCCCGTCGGTCATAGGCGCCAAGAGCCTGGATGAATCCTGTTGCTGTGCTAATTTATAGTCACATATTTCATATGCAAATCAGGCTTCCCACGACGCACTGCCTGTGATGAACGCACACCAGCAGGTTCTTTAGGACTGCCTGGGACCTCCAGCGGGCTTGCACGGCTCCTTGCTGGGGAGCATGTCTGTCCAGCCCTGGTCTCCGGCGTGGGCATGGCAGCCGCAGTGCCTGTGTGCGTGCCCCACCCTCTCCCAGGAGAAACTGTGTCCAGTATTAGTGCAAACTTCCGATGAGCCCCATGGAGAGTCTTTCCTATAAAAAGACACGTGTGCATCATCCATTTCAAATGCAAAGAAGCCGTAGGAAGTGCCGTCGACGGAAGAGCATGTCTGAAGTGCAGCCCATCGGAATGGGACTCATTTCTGACTGTTCATCGCTTGCTTTTGCAGTAAACAATCGTGGGCTTCTCTTACTGCAAAATGTGGTGTTTCCATTTTATTAGCAACTGACTTGCCTAATGTAGAGGCTGGTGACTTCTGTTTTGTAAAGTCTACTTTTAAAAATTAGCAGATTCCAGCAGAGCTAAGAACTTCTTTACATTTTAGAGTTATTAAAGAAAAGAACAACGTGCCACAGGGCGTGACCGAGCAACCTAACCAGCCAAGAACGAGTCTGCTCCCCCGCTTGAAAGGGTTAGGAACAGTCTCCTAGAGGTTAGGAATATTTATTAAAACATCCGCAAACAGTGCACTGCTGTAGCAGTAGCTTTGATTTGGGTCTTGAGATTGTGTGAAAAGAAGACAACATGAGTTTCAGTGAGGGAATCGCTGCTGTGGTTTCTGCAGGATCCCAAGCTGGCAGGGTCGCACTTTTAGTCAGAGACATAAACACCGGAAAGTTATCTTCTTACCTCATTTTAAGAAGCGTGTGGAAATGATGCTATTTATTTGCTAGTAATAGACGTGAGAATTTCAGAAATTGAGAACAATTTTATAATAAAACTATAATATTTGAATATTCTATATTTAAAGAGTATTTTTATATAAACAAAGTACATTTGACACTATGGAATTAACTTTTATCAGACTTTTACGGTAGCAAAAGAAGCTTTCAAATGTTATAAAATTTACAATGTCAAGACTGCTCTTTTTACTAAGTCTTTAAAAGAGATGCATTTCATAGTTTATACATTTGGGGATTTGGGGTATGGCTTTGGAGTAAATTTTCATATATTTTATTTCAGTAGCAGACCATTTTCAAGGTCTTCTGTGTCTGAATGTTACATGCTTCCTTTTTGGCAATCCACCAGGTCTAGATTATAAAAATTAAGTAGCTTGCTGATGGAGAATTCAGTTTAAATAAAAATTATACCTTACATTTATTTAGCCGCTTATTATAGGATGCTTTCACAAATGTATTGCATAATCCTTGCAAGGATGACTGAAGAATTGTTGCCATTTTCCTGTGGAATAAAAGCAGAAGCTGTTCAAGGGACTTCCCTGAAGACCCCAGGCTGAGTCCACGCCTTGCATTCCGCCCCTTCACGTGCTCACTCAGTGCAGACCCACTCCCGAGGGCCCTGCTGTGCGGGGCTCCGGGCACAGCGGAGAGAAGGGGAAGGCCCTCTCTGTCCCGCGCTTGCCCTCGAGGGTGATCTGACTGGACGGCGCTCGAGCGCTATGGTGGGAATAACCAGAGGGAGGTCTTCGGTCCAGCTTTCTGGAAAGCCGCCTCTGGGACGGAGCTGTGTGTGCAGGTTTAGTGGGGGCGGTGCTCACCATCCACACCTCTGAGATGGGAAGGGGCCGGGCGTGGGCCAAGGGAGGACTTGAACTGCAGGCAGTAGCAGGGGAGGCCTCCTCAGGGGAGGGTAGAGCCGGTGGTTTTTCAGAGGGGTCCCCAAATGAGGCAGGGATCCTCATATCAATGAATCGAATAGAGCCATCCTCATGGAGGGCAGTAACCTGAGGGCAATGCGATTCCTGCGAGGAGCTGGCCATGAGCCTCCAGCAGCCAGCACCAGGCACCCCAATGATCGGTCTGGAGGGCATCCTGGGGGCCCGCTGCAGCACCCTCCAGGGAAGGGCGGTGCCGTCCAGCTGCTGCCTTTGCCATCCACAGCCTGCCACCTACTACAGCCTGCCACCCACAGCCTGCCACCCACAGCCTGCCACCCACAGCCTGCCACCCACAGCCTGCCACCCACAGCCTGCCACCCACAGCCTGCCACCCACAGCCTGCCACCCACAGCCTGCCACCCACAGCCTGCCACCCACAGCCTGCCACCTGGCAGTTAGATGGGTGGGCTTCACTAGAGACCGTCAGTGAGCCTCATTCATGCTGAAGAGGGTTAGAGCTGGCTTTGCGGGCCATGTGTTCTCTCCCTCATGTTATTTATTGCTCTCCTATCTTTAAAACTATAAAGTCTGCCTGGCCAGCGTGGCTCAGTGGTTGAGTGTTGACTTATGAATTAGAAGGTCACGGTTCAATCCTGGTCAGGGCACATGCCCAGGTTTCGGGCTCAATCCTCAGCGGGGCCTGCATGAGGCAGCTGATCAATGGTTCTCTCACATTATTGATGTCTCTATCTCTCCCTCTCCCTTCCTCTCTGAAATCAATAAAAAAATAAACATATAAAATCTATTCTTCTACTAGACGTTTAAATAGAGAAGAGATCAAGGAACTTTCCCAAAGCCGCGCAGCTAGACGGTAACAGATGGAGTGGAGAGAATTTCTTTGTAAAGTAATTTAAAGTTAAACGGAGGTTTACAGGCGACATAGGAAGGAGGAGAAGGAAAGAGAGGAGAGACGTTAGTTGGGAACAGGGAGCAGAGCAAATAGTCCTGGAGTTAGGCCCCTTCTTGGTGTTACAAGCAGCTTTCCTCAGAACAGTCCATGAAGACTTGCTTTTCTGAAACGAGGCGCGTGTAAGAAATCAGCGCGGGTGCGATCGCCTCAGAGGAGCCGGTTGTTTAAATTAACCTATTCCCAACCAAGGCTACTGCCAGCACTTTGACATCTTTCTTCTGTTTGAGCTTATTGCGGCAAATCAAAAAATGCCCTACACCTTCCTGTCAGCAAGCAAGTGGCCCAGGCAGTGCCCAGACCATGCGGGCCCCTGCTCTGGACGGCAATGCACATTGTGACCACGAGGTGGCAGCCAAGCCCTTCCAAATGGCCTCTGTGGCCTGAACCTGGTGTAATAACCCCCAGGGCAGATTCCAGGCCCTGCTTCTGTGTGAAGGATTCTTTCATGCCTGCTGTGAGGGAAAGCAGGAAGATTATCACGGAAAGTTTCCCATTGAAGCGTGACATTTCTTAGCTGCAGCCAACACCTGGGTCCTTGTAGGACATGCACGCCTGGAGCAGAGAAGGTGACCCCCAGGCTGGTTTTCAGGGGCAGCAGCGGCTCAGTGGGTGCGTTTCACCGAAGTGCAGACATTTCCTTGGGACAGGAGCTTCATTTTAGGGTCAGACATGGCACATTAGCTCCTCAGTCATGGTTAGGGGCTCATTTCCCTCTTGTGTTGGCTTTATAGGCGATTGCAAACGCAGGGCTGCTATCGTTTAGTTGAGCCGAAGCAAACTGGACGCAGAGGATCCCCGGAGGGGTAGACCCCCGGTGGTGCAGCGTCAGCCAGGAGCGCTTTCCACATGAGGAGGCTCAGCGTCCAGTCTGCTGGGTAGGACCTGGTGCTGCCCTCAGAGCGCGTGGTATCGCTCATCCCTCACAGCCTCAGTTGCAGAATTTTAGATGTTTTGCTGAAGGGGCCCTGGAGGTCCCTCGGGGCCTTTGTTCATCCTCAGGGCTCGCTGACTGCCCAGGAGAAGGGCACTTCCAGACCAAGGGAGAAGGCTCCTGGGAGAGCCGGACGAAGCAGTTCAGGCGCAGAGGCCAGAGGCCGGACAACCTCCCGCAGCGGCGGGTTTCCTCCCGGTAAGCGGTGGGAGCATTATCTCCCCGGCAGAACAGGTTAAAGATAAAATAAAAGGAATGAAGTCCCACTTGCTCAGGGCCTGGCACACAGGGAATGTTCAGGAAATGCGTTATTACATATGCACGGGGACAAGAGAATATTGCTATTTAAATTCTGGTCCCTCCGCCTCTCCCCAGACCAGTACATCGCAATCTCTGGGGAGTCAGCCACCCCGGGGGCTCCCGCCCGGCAGGAGAACCGGAACCGGTGTAGGTCTAAGTCGGCGCCTGTCCAGTCTCTCGCACTGGGTCCCGAACTGGAGGACATTTACTCGGGGACGCGCCTGGGGCGAGCGGGCGCTGTTTGTGGCGGCTTCTCGGGCCCCTTCCCGGCTGCGCCTGCGCGTCTCCGTGTGTGCGGGGGGAGGGGGGTGGTGCTTTCCCGGGAAGAGGCTCAGCCAGATGCACCTGTTTGCGAGCTAGATCAACTGTGCCCC